GGAGTCTCTGTCTCTGGAGGCATTCAAAACCTGCCTGGACGTGTTACTGTGATCTGCTTTAGGTGATCCTGCTTTGGTTGGACTAGATGATCTCCAGAGGTCCCTTCCAACCCCTGCCATTCTGTGATTCTGATTTAGAAAAGGACGAAGCAATTTCTAATGATACATCTGAGCCTGTACCTGTAACTGTTTTTCTGTAAACTTCATAGATATAATAGGCTTGGAAGTTGGTAGTGGCCACGTTCCCTAAAATTTAGGTTTTGCTGCTTTTAGATTTGATTGCACATTCATGGTTAATTTGCTTTTTATATATGTCTGGGGTTATGCTAGATAAATGCAGTTCTTCAGGAATCTCACAAATACTGTTATAAGTAACTTTGTGCCAAAATTATCAGCAGCTGATTCTCTGAGAGGCATAGTACACATTTAATATCTTCAGAAAAATAAGCTTAAAGCAAAGTGTGGGAAAATGATAGGCTCAGTTTTCTACAGAACAAAGTGATCTATATACTCAAACCACTAAACAAAAACAGCTCTCTGTGGAAGAAAAAAATTAACAAAATTCATGAAACATCTGAACACATTAAATTGTGAAAATAAAATAACCCAATTATAAAATTCAAAACTTGCCATGATGGCAGTACATATTTGCTGTTAATTATACCCCTTTAAGTTTAATTTACTATTGTTTTCTTCTTTTTTAACTATTAGAAATTTAGAGACCTGCCAAAATTTTAGACCAAAGATTTTCATACAAAAATAATTTTTGAACATGTCCAGTGAGAGAGTGGAAGTGTGTATGGAGACTTAGGAGGAGACTGTCTCTCATTCCCACCCTCTCCATCACAGCAAATTAAGTGTGCCTACAGTACAACAAAAACTTGAAAAATGCTCCAGTAGTTTAAAAAAAAAAAAAAGCATTGGCTTAAACTTTGATTTGAACTGTAAATAAAGGTATTCTCAGGTTTAAATAAGTATTTTTTCTCTCTTTCCTTAACCTTTAATTGGCTTTCATTTCTTGATATCCTGTGAAATCCATCTGAGGATCTCAGCTAAGGGAAATTGTTCTTTGCTGGCTCCTTCCTTCAGAGCTGCACCTCCCTGTTCCAAAGTACTGTTGCCTCCAATGTCTGTAGAGCATGTGAGGTTTGAGAACAGCCATCCCAGACACAATGAAACTCCAACACAGCAGCAGCATCTTTTACGGGTATAATTCAAAGGCAAATTATGAAGATGTGGGAAGTTATTGGAAGACAGTGTCAAAGAACCATTTGGATGAGTTATGTGAATGAAACAACAAGATGACAGGAATTTATTGGGCAGAAATTGAAAGGCTCAGAACTGATGCCATACTGATGGCATGAAACTCCAAGTAATGAAATAGGATGAGGCTTTTTTGATGTCAGAACGAGGACTTTGCACATAAAGAATCATTAAAAAGGGAGACAGGATTCTCAGTGTTGTGTTCTTTCCAGCTCTAGAAGGATACAGTTTTGCTCCTGTTTTCTATAGCTTTAGAAGTAGGCTGAATAGATAGTTGGAGGAGAGGCAGACTAGTGTTTGAAGACAGTGGACAGGGATAGCCAGAGGATGGCAAAATAGCTGGATTGTTGTTGCCTCCTAGCTTATGCCAGTGTCCTATCACTGGAGCTTGCCATTTCAGGAGAAGCACTAAGCACTAACATTGGTTAGCACTGGAGAAGTGGCTGATCTACCTACATCCTTTTAGAGACTGGGGACTTCCATGCCTGATACTCTCCAAGACAGTTTCCCAGTTTTCATTCCTTCCCCATACTTTTCCGTTCCAAAGGCAGGCACTGGCATCCTTGAAGAAACAAAACTGAGTTTTGCTTACAGTGCTGAAAAGATACCTACTTCCCATGTTGCTCTCAGTGTCGTCTTGTAGAACAATTAAGCAGTACTGCAGAGAGTAGAGATCTTTATGAGACAGAAGGAAGTGTCTTGTAAAGGCATGGTTAGTAAACAGTACTCAGAAATAGGAGTGTTTTGAGAAAAAGGTCTGGCAAGAGGCAGGAAGGATTTTGCTGGGGAAGCAAATAGGAAATATGAGTCACAGTTTGGCAGAAAGGAGTTAACCTCTGCCCAAACTTGTTATTTAGCAGGTTCTACCATCCCTTTATTTTTTCATCTGTTTGGGTGCCTATATCCACTATGCCACACTTACTTTGGAGTTGGATGCATCTTAGTGAAATGAACTATCAGAGTTTTCTCCAACTAGATTTCCTATTGTGATAGACATTAAATTTAGATATACAGCAGGAGACAGGCCCTGCTACATTTAATAATCTAAATTTTCAGACAATGTAAGAGATAAACAGAGAAGGAAGAGTAAACGTATTATAAAAGCAAGAGGGTCATGTTAAGTCCATGGCTTGGAGATGGATTTCAAGTGATTTGGTGTAAGGAAGTTTGCTCAATGAGAACATAATGGAGAAGGAATGCTCAGAAAAGAAAGGACAGGGAAGGAAGCAGGAAGGGAAAGAAGGCATAGTGTGTGGCTGAATTACCCTCGAGTAGATCCTTTCTCCCTTTTCATTTATAAGCTAGTTGTTATTGATTCAAGCACAGTGACAACTTGGTGACAATTAAGAACCTTTCAGGGAAGAAAGGATTCTAAAAGACAGAAGGTTTTTTATATCAGACATTTAGATTTATATACAATAAAGACATTACAGACAAAATCTGTCATAGACCAATAAATATATAAATATATATTCCAATTTATTACCCAGTTTTAATATTTAGGATGCTACCATAGGTTGCACCTTTTCTGGTGTTCGTACTGTCAATATTGCATTACTTTCTTACTCTTTTGTTAGTTCTCTTGAAGGTGAGTTACTTGTTTTTCCTCTGGGTTGAAACTCAAAGAGTTTTGCTGGGACAAAAAAAAAAAAAGTAAATGTTAATTTGAGTGACATAGAGCTGAAAGTGTGAAACAGAAGCTGTGTTTCAGTATTTATCTGAAAAAGAAAGTGGTAAAGGTAATCATATTCTTCATTATGCATAAATTCTAAAAGTACAATTTCAGCTGCTCCATTTGGTGTCTATCAGCCCAAATTCATAATGGATTGTGTGCAAAATTTCTGTAAGATTTTGACCTACCTTCTTGTCTTCTCTTACAGTGATAAGAGAACATATATACATGATAGAAATCCTATAATTGAACTGTAGGCCTGAGTTGATTGAAAATGTGACTTACCAACATAAATGCTTCCATACGAACGATGTAATTTGGTTTGGGATAAGTTCTACCCATCCAGAAAATAGATTGCTAACAGAATTTCCATACTCACATTCTGCCGTCTTGGATTGTACAATGAGTCAAGTACTGTCAGATTTAAAATTTTGCTACTGAAAATATTTTTTTCTAGGACATCTGAAGCTGAAGTGAGAGCACTGTCATTTTTTGCCTGACAAGTTAAAATGGATTCAGTCAAACTATAATGCTTTCTGTGTAGGTCTGGTTTACAAAATCACAGAATCACAGAATGTTGGGGATTGGAAGGGACCTCGAAAGATCAACTAGTCCAATCCCCGTGCCAGAGCAAGAACCTAAATGAGATCACATAGAAAGGCATCCAGGTGGGGTTTGAATGTCTCCAGAGAAGGACACTCCACAACCTCCCTGGGCAGCCTGTTCCAGTGCTCCGTCACCCGTTCCAGGGTGTCTTCCGTAGAAATCCTCTCAGTTAGTCATTAGATAAATCTCAAAATTCCCTAACACATTCATCATAATTTACAATTCCTAATTCCCCCAAACCTTCAATGAAAGTTAAGATTTCAGGTGTTTATTGGTCGGTAAATCATAGAAACAACTTGGTCTTAATGGATCAAAGTGACAATAGCTTGTTCCTTTCCTTTTGTGGTTGAATAATGAAGAAAATTTGCAACACTTAGTGGAATTGCAAGTGAAGATGCTGGTGGATTTTTAGTGGCTCCTGGTTGACGTTAGTGACTTATGTGTCCTTATGTGTCCATTGCATTCAGTTTAATAGGCTGTAAACACTAGGACATGATGAGTAATTATATGTCTGCATTTTTCCTTTCCTCTTTGGAAGCAGTAAGTTCCAGCAGAGGAGCAAGATGAAGTCCTTGCCTGGTAAATATTTCAGTTGTGCTATCAAGGATTGTCAGCCTGCAGGGCTCTGACAAGCCCTCGTAACAAGATTTTCAATTTAGCTTTCATTTGTCATGTTCTTTTGCTAAAAACATTAACCTTTTTGTCTTCTTTGTTGAGCCCTTAATGTTTTAGGGAATGAATGTAGATTATTAATGGCACAGAAGCTTCTACAAGATCATTTGTCAACATATATTTAAGAATATCGCAAGTGACAACCCCTTGTTTAAACAACTGAAATATTTTAAAAGTGGCAACTAAAATATTTCCAGTTCTTACAAAAAGCTATTATTTTGTGTCATTTTCCCAAGCAGTTACAGGGAAGCACATAGAAGAAGAGAAAAAAACCCCACAAAAACCAACCAACCAGCACAAAACCAGAATGTTTGTGCTATAGAAGTGTTACGACCATACTGGGTGGCTCTTCGTTTGGCACCTCCAACAACTCTTTCTTCCTTTGCCTTTCAGATATCCACAAGCCTGCTTATCTCTGTTCCCATTGCATCTCAGAATATTCCTATCAACCTGTGTTTTTGCACTGATGATAGTATTACATTATGTAGAGTTAATGAGGAAGGCTCACTATGCCAAGTGGAACTACGTCATGGAACCTTACAGTTTTACCATATAATCTTTGCCAAAGTCTATTATTTCTAGCTAAGAAAAGGGAAATCTATTTTTTTAATTATTTTTTTTCTCCTTATGTTAAAAAAGTGACTTAATTGTCATATACTATGGGTGAGTCTGTATTTATATAGTTTGTGCATCTACATCAGCCTTAGACAGAAAAAGAAATTAAAAAAAAAGAGGAGCCGTTAAAAGTAATACTTTTTTCCCCTTATCTGTTACATCTGTTTCATAGGGTGATTCTCTTCAGGGTGGTGATGATTCTCCATTCTCAGACTCCATTACATTGGAACAAACAACAAGTAATATCGGAGTCTCAAGTGGACGTGTCAGCCTATGGATGCAGTGGATGTTGCCAAAAATTACTGTAAAATTGTTTGCTCCCGATCCTAGAAATAATGGCACAGGTATTTAACATTTTTTCTTTGTAATATACTATTTTAAATTCCATACATAATTTTACAGCACAGTATGAGCTATTCAGAGCATTCATTGACCATATTAAAAACACTGTAATGCAGAAGTAATGTATTGGATCTATATTTAAACTAGAGTGACAAGCTGTAGTTAGGTTAGTGCATGTAATCAGAATTCATTGTTGTTCTTTGGCATAAACTTTACTCTCCATGTAGAAAGATTATTATATTAAATTTGAAATAAGTTGGTTATTTTACTTAGAGTGCTGCATTTATTGCCTTATAAGTAATCATGTTTAATTTTGATATGATTTAGTAGTATATTTTGTGTATGTCCATGTATAGACATGTAATTTTGTATTGATAATTTCAAATTTATGTTTAACATAATCATCATAGTATAATCCTTAAAGGCATAGGACATTTAATATCTGTATTAAATTAAATGTTCAATGTAGAAGTCTCAACTTCTGTGTTGAAAAGATAGATACGTGTGGTACACAAGTTCTCTTTTTTAGTTTGAGATTAAAATTGGATTGTCATCCAGACAGTAATTGTTTGAAAGGAACTTGGATTCTATAAATCTACTGCAGGACTCAGAATACATTTTGTTAGGAAACACTGCTACTTAGCAATTAACATTGTTCCTCATAGAGATGTGAAAAAATAAGGAGGCTGATGTTTAAAGCTAGTTTTCAAAGAGATAAACTTGAACTTTTGATTTTAAAAAGTTAATTACATGAGAGAAAGAAATTCCGAGTATTGGTAAAGAGTAAATATCTTGGCAAGTATTTTTTTACATTTTTTTCAGGAATTATACTATGAACACCTCAACTAAAACCCCCATATATAAGCGTCTCTACACATAAACGGACTGGAATCCAGGGTGTTTTCTGTTTCTTATCTGTGTCACACTTGAATCAGAAAGCACTTTATGAAAAAACTCTAAATAGAAGTAGCTTCATCCTCTTTACAAAATGTAGTGTCTCAGATATATTTCTTGCTTAAAAACCTGCAAGTTTCAGATTAATAACTAAAAATTTTTATTTTCTTTGACTATTGCAGAAGTTTGTGTTGTCAGTGAATTAGAAGATCTCAGTGCCTCAGTGGATATGCAGGATGTGTATACCAAAATCAAATGTAAAATAGAAAGCTTCAATATTGACCATTACAGAAACAGGTAATTCCTGGGAGTTATTCTGCTTTAATTTCAAGCTGAAAGACAAAGGCAGGTGGTTGTTTTTTGTTTTTTTTTTCCTTAAGTCTTAATTTGAATTTAAGATAATTGTTCAATTTCAGTGAAATGTTTTTAACTTTTAAAGTAATAAAAATCAGAATTAGATTTTCTCAGAATTATATCTGATTCCAAAGAAATACAATGGAAATAATTACAAATCTGGAGAGCATTTTTTCACACTTACTACTCTGTTGGTCCACTAGGCAAAAATTTTAGTTGAACTTTTGGATGGGAAATTCCTTAAATATTGCTTCATGATGTGTTAGCAGGTGCCAATATTTAATGATGTATGGTACCATACTCTTAGATATTTAAAAGAAGTTTCTAAAAATGAAACTGTTTCTATTGCTGTGGCTTAGCAACACCATAATGCAGGGAACTAAGCTGATCGTCTGTGTCTGTGGGACATGGCATAATATCATGCAGACACACCTGAGTAAAATTTCAGTAATTAATGTCAACCAGTATATCATCAATATTAGGTACGTTTAGGGTAGGTAGGTAGTTAGGCCTACTATATGTCTTGCAGCTTTAGCAAGTTTTAGTTGAATACTTTGCTGCACCAAAGTGACTGTGTTCATTTGGCACCTGGACACATAGTTCTGTAGAGAGATTGCGTGTGCTACCTTCTAGGTCATATTGGCCATCTTTTAAGATTCAGAGGGACAGGGTGCTGGACCATCTTGTCTAGACCATGCTTTTGCCAGGAAAGGTTGGACCAGATGATCCTTGAGGTCCCTTGCAACCTGGTATTCTATGACTGATTCTATGGACACACTAGTCTTGACAAAAATGAGAGAGAACCTATGTAGTCTTTGATCAGCTGGGTTAGTGTTTGCCATTACAGATCAGCAGATTCTGTTATGGGAGACAAAAGTTAAGAGAAAATAAAATAGTTGTTGTGTTACTCCCTGAGAGTTAAAAAATAGTTAAAAGTTTCAGAACATTTTTTGGCATTGAAATGACAAAAATATTTAGGAGTACACATCATTTTGACTTAGGAACCAATGTCTGCATGGTCTTATTGGACACTTATTGTTCCCTTTGTACAGTGGGAAGAGGATTTAGTATCAACTTAGCAATGTTACCAGCATTTCTGAGACTTTTATTTCTGACCAGCTGTCTAAAAAAACCCCTTGAATTCCTGTTCTTTTACCTAAGTTACAAATGTAGTTATTGTTTGTACATATTGTAATATTTGATAATCAAAATTTGTACTTTTATTTTTAAAAATCTTTTAAAAACAGGTCATGATGCTTTAAAAGGCTTTAGAATCCCAGTAGCTAGGTGCCCTTCACAAGCTTCTTTGTTCACAGGTTCTATGGGAACCCTGAGAGAAGGTGCTTATTCCTAGGACCCTAATGGTCCATTAGAAACTTTTTCAACTTCAAGGTGTTTTTGTTAGCTAAAATTATATAGAGGCTTTAAATAGAAAAACAAAACAAAACAAAACAAAACTTGCTCCACTTTACAAAATTGTTAATGTCTAGCTAAAATTATATAGAGGCTTTAAAGAGAAAAAAAAAAAAACCAAACTTGCTCCACTTTACAAAATTGTTAATGTTCTCATTTATATTTCATAATATTTTCAGAGTACCTTTCTTGATCTTTAAATCTTGGTAGACTAAAACTAAACACAAAGAACAGATAAGGTGAACATTCTGTCTTCCAGGCCAGGGGGAGACTGGCAGTCAGGACATTTTGAAGGAATATTTCTACAATGCAGAGAAAAGCTGTTGGTGAGATTTCTTTAGTAAACTAAGGTGCTTACCTGAATAAATCTTCTTAAGCAATGTATTTTTCTTTATTCTTACATATTTTTAGAAGAATGATCACAAGAACTGTAGTACAAAACACATTTTAATACTTCATAGCTCATTTTTTTTTTCCTAAATAATACTATGTTTTATAATGTGTCTGAGTACAGCCATTCATTCACAGTTTCTTGGTTCTTGTCATCATTCTAATAAAGCTATCTGCTGAAAATGCTGAAAATACAGTGGTAAGTCCCTTTTCTGTATGCACGATTTTACTATAGTTTTATTCTCATGTATCTTGACCTCTTGCTGTAGGTTATCCTTTCACATAAAATTTAACTTTTTTTTTTTTACCAGTTCTTTGCTTGATCTGATTGAATTTCAGCTGTTTAGGAAAAGATATGGCATAGACTTTATCTTGCAGTTACATGGGAACATGCAAGTTTAATGTAATTTTTTTGTTTATAGAAAATTTTTTCTTTTTTTTTTTTCTTTTTGTCTTCCCCTCTTCCATCCCTCATTCATTGCCTCAAGCCTTGGGGAAGATTCTTGGTCTCTGGGGCAATATGGAGGTGTGTTCCTTTCCTGTACTGACAAGCTGAACAGACGTACTTTGTTGGTTCGACCCATCAGCAAGCAGGACCCTTTCAGTAATTTCTCTGGCTTCTTTCCCTCTGTAAGAACCTTTTTAAAAATTTTTATGACAGAACTTCCACTAACAGATACCAGTTGGAGTAAAAAACAAAAAAAATTCTCAAATTACTTTGTTCTTATCTAAATTATTTTGTACTGAATAAACATTGATCATATTAGTTGTGTTATTTCTCTCTTATGCTTAAGTAATAGTAGTCAGTCATTTTTTAGTAGCTATGTGACATCAAGCACATACAGTAATGTTTGGAAACCAAATATGTAAAAGCCAGTACTGAACGCTGCATTTTGTTCCTGTGATTCTGGTATCTTCTTAGGGATTTAAGTACTTTGTATTACTGCAGTATACCTTTCTGCAACCTTTTAAAGTCACTTCTTATATAATGCAACAATTAACAATTTCATATCCTTTTTTCTTTGCCTGTTTATCCTTGCAAGACTTCCTATATTATGACATTGGCCTCTTTATCTACACAAATGTATGGCTATGTAGAATCTTCTTATGTTAGTGGAAGTTCTGTGTGGTCTGATTTATTTTCATTGTGAATATTGATTGGTAAATACTTTCTTTTGTTCTGTTTGTTTCAGTTCTTATAGGAAATTAACTTACTAATTTGTTTTAGTTCACTTAATCATAAAAGCTTCCATTTGTTCAGCATTTAGGCTATGTATCCTGTTTAATTAAGAAAGAGATGTTCTTGTATTAAAAAGGTTTAAATTACATTAAATTGTTTTTAATTGTATTTAAGATACTGAAAGGAGCAACTACTTGCAAAATCTAGTTGCTTTCGTTTGTGCTCACAATTAAAGCTAGTAATGAAAAAATCTTATAGAATTCTATCAAAATGTTCATTAAACTGTTAAAATAATGGTCTTCCTAGTTATTATTTTTCCATTTTTCAATCACTAGCAATGTGTGACTGAAAGACTTTTGAGGAAAATATGAAAACTGTTCTGTACATCTTCTGGGAGCTAAGCATCTAATTGTAATCTTTAGCTAGGAAATCTGTCCTAAGTAAAGGAATCTGCTATTTCTAATGTATAATGCAGTATATCTTTATTTAGGTGATGTGCTTTAACATGTGGTACAGCTATTCTCTTTAAATACTCAGGGGTGATAAGGGCAAAATTATTAAGTTGACTATGGGTGGTTTATATAACCATGTTTAGATGGAGTGAAGCTATCTCAGCACCCAAGCATTACTTTAGTACCTGTGGTGCTTGAAGATACAGGAGGAACAATGCAAGGGAGTAAGATCTACTTCTAAAATGTCTAAAGTGAATGAGAAATCAAAATATATAAATCTGTGAAAAATTACCAGAAAATTTTGTTAAATTTAGACTCCTGAATATGGGGGGTTGGGGGGGATGGAGGTGGTGGCTGATTTGATTTGAATTTCATACAACATAAATAATCAGAACAGAAAAAAATGTTCAGCAATTCATAGTTTTAGCTGACACAATATAGTGAAGTGTGGACACACTGTGGACAAATTGTCCATTCAAAAAAATGAAAGACATTTTTTCTGCTATTCAGAGACAGTGGAAAGCTATTAGAAAATACCTTAAAAGATGATGAGTCGAAAAAACGCTAAAAATCCTAACTAACAGAGAATATGTTAATTGATGGATATTTCATGTGTACATTTTTTGCAGTAATTTTTTTTTTTTTCCTTGAAACAGACAACTGCAAAACTTTTAGATGGCTCACACCAACAACATGGATTTCTTTCTCTCACTTATACTAAAGCTGTGACAAAAAATGTCCGGCACAAACTGATATCAAGAAATGAGCGAAGAACATTCCATAAGCTATCAGAAGGTCACACTGATGGTTCTCCTCACTTTCTTCATGAGATCCTTCTGTCTGCTCAGGCCTTTGATGTGGTCCTCTGTTTTCCTTTGCTTAATGCGATTGCAAGCATTTTTCAAGCCAGGTTGCCACGGAGTCAAAAGGAGAAAAGAAAATCAGCAGGCCAACCTATGAGGACTCATGCTCTAACATCCCGCAACTTGCCTCTGATTTATATCAACACTGGTGTAATAAGAGTCTTCTTTCCCAAAAATGAGGAAGATCGTCATACTGCAGAAGGTACAATATTTCATGTTAGAGATTTTTTGCTGTTCAGTATTGTGGATAAGTACTGTAACTTAGTTAAATCACTGACCATTGGTAGGGCCTTCAGTTTTAAGGGTCAGAGTTAGGAAAGATCTAGCATTCATGCTAATTCTCCAAAGATTTGCTGAAAAGGTTTTTTTTAGGTATTTATTTGATCTTTGCTTTCCCGGTACCTATAGAGTTTGCATTTAAAATATTATTTATTTATTTATTTATTTATTAAAAAAAGGACAAGAATGTGGGAAGAGAACTTAACCCAGTTCTGCAGTGGTGATTCTTGTGTCAGCTCTGATTATGCTGATACCACTTCAGTCCCATAGATGCCTGTTCCAGCGATGGAGTGTAAACAGGGAGCCTTAGCTCTTGTGGCACCTGGAAAACCATGCTGTAGTGAAGCTGGTAGATATTACAGTTCAGTTTTGAGAATGTTATTAAAATGTACCTTGTGAATGATGCCCAAGAGATTATATAGTTTATAATTTACTTAGTAAATCTTAGTTTAAGCTATTCAGACTCTCTTATGTAAGAGACTTTCAGGTATTTACAGAGGTGTGAATAGCGTAAGCTGTTCTTACAAAGAACAGTAAGTAGCCATTTGATCTATGGATCATACTTTTTTCTGTAAGAACTTGTTTTCCCTTCGTACATAAAATATGTTTACATCCCTATTACAATCTTTAAATAAAGAGATGCTGATGTTAAAATTGCACCTTGTAACAGTTAATGGGAATGCAATTACTTCCATTACCAATAATTCTTCTAGAGATTAAAAAAAAAAAAGAAAAAAGAGAAAAAAGTATTTTACTAGTATCCTGGTATGTTTATAAAAGTCCTATAGGTATAGGGGTTTTTTTTACCATTTACCATTATATACAATAGCACAATGTAATCCTAAGAGTATTGTCGTTAGATTTTTCTCATAACCTAATTGCAAGAAGTGCAGACAGTGAGAATTTACTTAGATCCTTTTTTTTTTTTTTACCGGCATCCCCTACAATTTTCCAACTGGGAATGCTAAAAACACATGAAGATAAAATTAGACCAGTTGGGTTGGCAAGAAAGAATGATGATTCTAGTTGGAAGGGAGTTCTAGGGCATGCTGTCAAGGAAATATTTTTTTTAAAGTATGTTTTTGTACTGTAGCTGTATAGTTTATTAAAAAGAAATTATAAAAAACTTTGTCTTGTTATTATCCCTTGCTTGGAAATGCGTGCAAATAACAGAATTGCAATGGTTAAGCCTGGATGTAGGAAGAAAAACTATGTATACTTTTAAAGAATAATGCTAAAGATTAGCTTTATTACGTTAATAAGAAAGCCAGCTACTCTCTTCCACTGGAAAATTCTGAAATATCATCATTATGAAAATCAGTAGCATTCTCCTTTCATTTTTTCTTTCACTCCAGATTTTTCCAAACTCTCGTCTGTTTCTGAATGTGAAATAAATCTCTTCTCTCTTCTACTGCTTATTGTCTTCAAGAACAATAGAAATTAGAATAATGAGTAAGAGTTGAATGTGACCCACATTACTGGTATGCTAGGTCAGCAGCGTTATGTATTGTGGAGATATGCCCCAATAAGACCTCATTCGTTGTTTGTTGATTAATAGAGATTTTTAATCGAGTAAGATTTGTGTGTTTCAAGTTGTGATCACTGCAGTAAAAATAGAAAAACAATGACCTCAGTTTCTCTTCTAGTCAATCGTCCGCTGTTCATACCCTGTACCTAGTGATAGCTACCAAAACTATCCTCCCCTAGAAAAGCACATGTAATTGTGACATTAAGTGTAGAGTTAAAAAAAAATACAAATCTATTCTTTATTCAGGCAGTCCAAAACCAAACTTGTACAATGAACTGTTGTACACAAACACTATGAAATAATCACAATCATGGTTTTTCTCCTGAGGAATTTACATACACGCGTGCATCAACACAGCCACACAATTTTATAACATTTTAATTTCATGTTTGTTGCAGCAGCACCAGATTAACATTTCTTTTTGTGGGGAACTTGAGGGCAACTTTCTATCCTAGACAATAAGCAATGCTGCTTTACCTTAGAGTTTGATTTGTTAATAAATCAGGTGGTATTTCAAGCTCTGGCCAACAGCCCACACTTACTTAGTGATAAAGAGAACTAAATATATAAAACCAATATTTAACAAATAGAAGCAAGAATTACTGCATAGCAGAACACTATAAATAAAAACTGTAAATTGCAAAAAACTTATAAGGAGTGGTAGAGACAGGGAAAATCCACATCTGGCTGGTTTGAGGACAATAGGAACTTTTTTTAGTATGTACTAGGAGCAAAATATCAGGAATCACTAGAAAGGACATGATAAATTTGTTGATAGTGAAAAAGAAAAGCCAGCATACTGAATAAACGTATGTCCTGCATTTGTAGAAGTGATCTATTCTTGTCACATGTGCATGACTCTACTTTGAAGTCTTCCATAACATATGGTCTGTAACATCCTCCTTGCTTACTATTAAACAGTTTCAAATCAGTCAGACTGAGTAACTTGTGCTCAGGGATCTTAGTCTTCTGAGGCTAATTTTTAACACACCTTGGAAGAACAGGTTTTAGACAGCTGAAGGTATGTCTCATAAAATAAAAACTGTGATGTTCAAATAAAATTAAGACAGGTAGTTTTATTGCTGTCCCTCAGAGAATGTAAAGGAAAAACTGTATTACAGGATTCAGTTAATAATTAATTACATATTTGTTACACTATAATAAATATGGTTTTATGGAAAATTAGTCTTGTTAAACACATCTGATTTCCATTCTTCGTTATGGTTTCAATTCTTATTTAATAAAACGTTTGGAAAGATTTGATATGCTTAGACTTTTGTAAGGTGTGTCTCACGGTATTCTAATTTAAATACAACCCCATACAATATCTGTGAAAATGTTAAATGAATTAAAAATGTCTAACTAGAAGTCTAGAGAAAAACAAACAAACCTAAAAGTTGTCAAACATTCCCAAAGTTGTCAATTGAGAATAACAAGTGAAATTGGTATTTAATAATCTGAAAGTAAATATAAAACCATTGCTGCTAGCATCAGTGTATGTTGCAAAGAATTTTCTGAAGCAGATAATGTTAAGGACTCTATAGGTCATACATTACTTCTTGTAGATACTAAGTCTTCTAAAGCTAAAATTATATATCACGGAAATAATTTATGCAGACTATATCTTCAGGACTGGAGAGACAGTGGCTGAAAACAGCTTAAGGGTCACAGTGGACTTAGTGAAAAGAGCTAAGGGAGGTAGCTCTACTTCTGCGTATGGCAGGTGATGGAGTATCACGTCCAGATTGCTTTCTGTTCTGAAAAGCGAGCATTGATAAAAGCGGAGCTGGTGCTGAAACGCACCACAAATGTTAATTAAGTGCTGGAGAAGAAGTCTTACAGGGAGGGATTAAAAGAGCATAATGTTTTTAGCTCAGGGAGAAGACTGATGTGAGGGGGTAAAAACAAGTCAGATGGTGAACAACATTATTGCAATTGGGTCTGTAAGTTTTTCCTAGATTGTACTTACACAGTGTAGTGTAGACTTCCCCCCCCCCCCCTAAAATTTTCAAATATATATATTGAAAAGCTAATGGGAGAATTAATGGGTTAATGAATGGAGATATGAATTCATCATCCTAAATAGTGATTCAGATTACCACTCATTAAAAACCAGCTGAAAAAATTAATGCCTGTAATTCTTTCTGCTTTAAGATTGACTTAATTTCTTGACCTACAAGAATCTGTACACAAAAGAACCATGCCTAGCCTAGAAAAAAAATCCTAAAATGCTTACATAATAGAGGCTGTAATGAGTAGTCCTGTGTTTATTTTCCTTTGCTAAATGTCAGACAAATTAAAATTCTTAGCCTAAGGTATATTTTATTAAGAACCACTTCTCAGAATAAGGCATTTGCCACCTAATTAAGTTGTAATTACAATCTAAAGTATATTTAATACCTTCACTCCTTTTTCTTATGTGCGTATCAGGAAAAAAAAAATCCAACACATTAAGTGTACAGTGGCAGAAATTCTAATACTTAGTACAATGCCTTACTCATTCTTTTATCTAGAAGTTGAAAAATGCAGTTTCTGATTTAGTCAGCTCAACTTTTCTACCTTAGTTCTGGCAACCAAACTATCTGTATATGGTTTTGCTCTGCTCTGGGGACTAAAGGATTTGACTTTGCTTTTTAAATAGATGAGGTTCTTTTAAGTAAATCCCTTGTGTTCTAATTTAGTTGTGTGTCAGAACTTGTGTAACAGCTCTGCTGCATGTATCCCCTACAGTTGTTTCAGAATATGATATTAGAATTTTTGTGAATTCTTTGATTTAGTATATCTGTTTAAAAATGCACTTATGTATGTTTATAGCTACAAAGCATGATGTCTTACTCACCAAGACATCAACATGTCTGGGGAAACCATTTTTCAAGCTCATAGATTTTGCTGGTTCTTTCCACACCGAGCATTTCATTCTTCAGTAAAATATTTAGACTCTATTCTGCTACTTTCATTTTGTTGTCAGAACTCATATGTGATAGTCTTGCAGAATTTCCTTGGACATGAGACCAAGTATGATGTCATTCCATTCTTGTTATATATCATGCTGGTGTTGCAGTGAACCATTTCACTTCAAATGATGAACTCTCTGAGCTTGCCTAACATGTTCTCAGGAGCTTCCTAGTTACTATGGAGTCTTCTGAGCAGAAGCTTATCCAAATGTTTTGTGTATGTTTGTGCCTGCCTAGAAGCAGATGCAGTAGACTCAGTCTTTTCCTCTAAGGAAACTTCACAGAGTTTGTTTACTGCAAGAAATGTGGTGCTGTTTTTTTCTGGGCAGAACTTTGATTTTTCAGTCTGGTATGATCACTGCTTTATAAAACTAAGAATTTGTACATGTGGCTGAAATTTAAATATGATGGAGATGAAGTGGAAAGCATAGATTTTACTTCTTGGAGTAATTTTGTTATTGATGTGGAATTTACTGTCCAGTGCTGCATCTTGTTCTTTGTATATGTGTCGGATTTCAGATTCTCTTGTTTCAGTCCTTGTGTTTGAACTTTTCATGTGTGCTGGAACCCATACCAAATGCTACTAGGATGGTTACATTGTAATATCCTTCAGTGTTTTACATCTAAAGAACCTATGCCCATATTAAAAAGGATGCATTAGTCACAGTGCTTTACTTGCTGATATTTTAGCAGATAATTTTTGGAGAAACAGGCAGATCACAAAGAAGTCTGTGGGATCAACATAATTTTGAACAACAACAACAAAAATAAATAAAAAAATCAGAGATGATGAGAAGTCACAGACCAGCATTTAGTTGTGTGAAAAAACTCTGTGGGGAAATTAAATGACAATACTTTTGTCCTATATATCACAACAGTGCTATTGATTTTATGGCTTCTTTTTGCATTAGTTGTTGCTCCTGAGCAGAACTGAATCATTAACAGACATTCTAATTTAGATTTTTTTAAACAATAGTTTTTCAGTGTTTCTGCTATATGCATTTGACTTTTAATCAAATACATATTTTCTTCCTCCTAGCTACAACTAATCCAGCAATTAAAGAAGACACTTTGGTTCTCAAGATTGGATCTGTCTCTATGGCTCCTCAGGCTGACAACCCTCTTAGTAGAGCTGTGCTCAGAAAAGACATTTATCAGTAAGTGTTGTAGGAGGGGTTTGGGTTTTCATATATGGTCTCAGAAAAATTCATTTTGGAAGAAGTTAATTGATCAATAAAATGTGTACGTGCAGCCTGTAAAAATACTTTTCACATACAGTCTTTTGATACGCAAAACCAGGTTTTTCTGATTTTCTTCACTTGTGGGCTTTCAAATCCATTTAGACAAATCAAGTTCTTCTGTGAAGTGCTGATGAATAACAGAATTTAAATGTCAAGTCATTACGAAGCTTAAGCTCACAGATGAGAACATTTTAAGAGGCTTTCTTTTATTCAGCTACTACTAAGTTCACCTAAGAGAAAAGGAAATTTTTCGTGACTACCAAAGTGCTCAGTAGCCATATAGTGTGAAGGAGATAGATCTTAATAATTTAAATGGTAAACATATATTCAAACTGTAGGATTCTTGATGTCATGTAGATCAAAGCTGAAAGGAACACAAACTTCTAAGGAGCTCTTTCCCAGTAAACACATTTTCTGTGAAAATGTCATGCTCTGGATTGTGTCACTAAGTATGTGCAAACCACAGTAATCATATATAGGCAGCAAAACTGGTGAACATATGTAATCAACATGATAAAAGTAATATATGATCCTTAGTAGAGTTGGCACTGTTGCCAGACATGAAAGTATGGTTGCAAATAATACCAAGTGAGAAAAGTCACAGAAATACAGATGAACAAGTGTCTTATACTTCCCGTTGGTCTGTTTTTCAGATGTGGCAATATTTTTAACTACTTCATAGTGCTCTTCAATAGAAATTACAAACATCAAAATCTTTTCCCAGCAGTAAAACATTTACTGCCTAGAAAATGACAGCAAGTTTTACTTTTTGTCAAGACTAGAGTTTTTAGGAGACCATGAAATATCTCCAGTTTCTCTTCTGATCACTTAGAAGCTGTAAGAGAGACTATTTCTTCATATTTTCATGTGGAAATACTTAAATTAGTGTTTTTGCTTTTATGCTTAGCTATAGTAGGGGATTTTGGGGGGCGAGGAGGGGGAGTGTTGGGTTTTTTGTTGGGTTTTTTTTTTTTGAGAGGGTGGTTTGGTTGGTTTGTTTGTTTGTTTGTTAAATGAGCATTTTATCTATTGTATTATGGAGCTTTCGTGGAAAAAATCTTACAGCCTGGCACCAGCAACAGCTTTGGGTGGCAGGACCTAATCCAACTCTCAGTGTGCCCACAGATAAAAGAGACATTCCCAACATTTGTACAGACTTTTCCTGCTTCTGCCCTCTCTGTCCAAGGAGACTCCCGTGTGATATCTGCTTAGAGAGCTGCAGAACCAAATGTAGGTTCTACACTTATCACAACAACCAAAAATTTACCAGAAAAATCCCCTAAAGTGGAATCTGCAAGTTCCAATTTCTGTAAGATAATTTCTGTCACCTTGGGGAACTGTGGAGTGTTCCTTATGTGCACGTTACAAATCAGTGAGTAAGCAATGGGAGGGATGCAGTTGATATCAAAAATCAATGAAGCTGTGCCAGTTTACATTTTTGAGTCTGATATCTTTGCATCTGTGGCTTTACCTGAAATGCAGAAATTCTGTGCTTTTCAAACCAGAAGTTACTCAATTGCTTAAAGATTCTGTTGCCCTTTTGCATTACATGTCTCTGGGTCTTATATAGATAAATATTCTAGATTTGTGCGGTGTATATTTGGTTTTCCTAGCTTTATACAGTTAGGATATGCTTCACTCCTCCTTTAGAAATCAAGACACCAAATGTGTAAGGTAGAAATAAGCACTGAGCCACAGACATCTCTCATCTGACTGTCACTGGTTTCTTTGCGACCAGTCTCGCATCATGCTTCCTCTGTCTTTTTCTGAGAAATGTCTGCCATTTTCAGTAATTTCCTCTAACTGCTTCAGTGACCATTCTTCTAATTTCTCAGCAGCTGTCAAATGACTCAGTCTTATCTTAGTTCCTTTAATCATCCAATTATACTAGCTTTAGTGTTTTTAAAATACGTTGAGACTGAGTGTCAAGTTACTTTGCAGAGTTTTATGAGACAATATTGAAGTTGGTAGTGGGTGGTCTTTTGACTTTGGGATGAGAGTTACTATTTTGATCTGTTTAAGCAAGCTTCAATGCTTTTGAGCAATATAAATAATTTTTTTTTTAATTAAAAATACTAAGATTCCAGTTTAGTGTCTAAGTAGATGCATTTTCTAATTATGTATTCTTTGATCCAGAACACACTGTAGTTACAGAAGCCTAGTTGAAGATAGCCCTTCCTTTTCTTAGATGGCAGTCACTGCGGTTAGACCAGTGGAGTTGAGTGGAGTTAATTTCACCATTTGTCAGTTTTTCTTTGGAAAATATAATACAAAGGTTTTTGTATTGTTAGGGCAGGATACACACAGTCTGTTTTCAAGGGGGAAAAAAAAAACCCAAAAAACAGTGGGATATTTTTAACACATCGGCCTGATGTTAGTATTTGTTTCTCCAAATACGAGATTTCTTAACTTACACAATGTTTGCCCTTTTTAACCTGCCTATAGTAGATGGTACCAGATAGCAAAAATGTGTAGCTGGAGCTTGTATAGAATGCTTACAAATCAAGTAGTAAAATGAGCAAACCCACACAATGTGTAACTCATGTTTTTTGCTGAAAGATTTCTTAGTAAATATCAACAGAGGTACAAGTAGTATATTCAGCTTAAGAGACTAAAAAAAAAAAAAAAAATTACAGCAGCCTGTTGATTACTGAAGAATTAGCTGCTACAACATTCTAATAATCCCAACATGTCATCTTCTGTCTCTTTCCAACCTTTCTTCTCCTCTAATTTGCTGCTGCTGCTGCTTTTAATAGAATAAAAGAAAATAAATCATTGTCTGAACCACTGTCTTTACAATATTTCTGGAACGGGGATAGAAACTTAATTTGTGGTGTCACTTTGGTTTGAACAGTCTTCTGTTTAGGTCTGAACTACAACCACATGCAATTAATGTCACTTTTGTAGTGTTTCATGAGAAAGAAGAACTTTTGCTTCTCATTTAGAAACTGTTCTTTTAGGAAAGGCTGAGAAACTTTTTCATGGCTAAAGGCTGAATTGAATTTCCAAATATCTTTTCAATTTGTCCCAGAAATTTATACATGAAAAACTGAATGTGCTCATTTATCATTAACAGAATGCCAGTGTGTGAAAAAAGGTAAAGCTGGTATGGCTGCAGGTCATACTGAATAGACCGGGCCACTTCTGGCCTGTAAGCTGAAGTGACTCCATCTGTGTTGTAAGAAAAATAGCTTACTGGCTTAACTTGGAGGGAGAACTAAGCTGAAAATGGAATGTTGGAAAAATAATGTGCCCCAAAAGTTTGTGCACAAATATTTTTTCAGGTGATCATTGGAAGTTGGAAAGAAATGTATTGGCATAGTAACTTCACTTTTCTTATATCATATAAAAATTAGTCTAAAAATAACGATTTCCTTCAGTAGAAAATGAACTAATTTAGTTTAGACCATTAATGCACATGGTAAACACAGATGCATGTGCCATAACAGTATATACAGGGCTCCTGAAAAAAGTGCAGTGACACATTTTAATGTGGTCACAGTAAAAGACAATTTCTCCTTTTCAATTTATTCCCCCCCTACTAAATCCTAGGACTTGGTTTGTTTTAATGATTTCTCACAAATTTCTGATTCTTAAACACCAGCTGAGGTGTGCTTGTCTTCAGCCAATATGACGAGAATTGTATGTTGGCATCAAGAAACTGACAGTTCTGTGAATCAGAACTCTTGCAGATACCAGAAGGCCTTGGGACAGGATCAAGGAGATGAATAAAAGAGACTTTGGATAAGGATACAAGTGAGGCAGCTGCCTAGCCTGGCTAGAGAGAGGGAAGAGCAGTTAATTAAAACTGTGAAGGAGTCACATAGTCAGAGTAAATGAAGTTTCTGCTAAGCAGGGAAGGAGAGAACCACATTTTTGAGGGTTTTAACTACTTGATCATGGTAAACCTGGGACTGGGGGCACTGCCGCTTGGAGACAACTCAGCAAGCTGCAGAAAAACAATTGATGTGGTAATTTCTTGGCTTGTGCGATCATGCTGTGTATGTTAGAACTTTTGAAGTGGCCAAATGAATGGTCAAATACGTTTGACAAAACAGAGAAATGTCTAGCAGTTTTGGGGAGGAGAAGTGCTAAGATAGGGAAATCATGTTAATGCCCTGATGGAGTGAAAGTCAGCTGGTTATCTGATATCAGAGAAATCACATCAGAGGGAAAATTTATAATACAACTATAGGAAAAGAACAAGCATCTCTTTGGAGGCTGAAAATGGCATTTCTCAGTCCTGGGCTCACTCTTGTTTGGCAGGCTGGTGTTTAGTAAGATAAAAATTCCAACTGATTTTTTTTTTTCCTCAAGATCTTCGTAAACCTCTCTTGTCTATGGATTCTTTGGTACTCAATATCAAAGGTACACTTATGCTATAGTGTTAGTATAATGAAATTAAGAATTTAACCATATGCCAACTGTACAGAGACAGTTGTGGTGTTTGTAGCAATGCTTTGTTCGCCTGGGAGAACATCAGTTAAGAGTTATTAGTGGTGAGCACTTCTCTGAAAACTTAAATATATGTTTTTATGTGGAGAGCACTAAAAGCAGTTATGTGGCTGATTCTGTTACAAAAATCCAAGGGAAGCATGGAATAATTTCATTTGGAAGGGACTTCTGTAGTTCATCTCAAAGCAATTTAGATCAAGTTACTCAAGTCTTTCTCCAGACAAGAAAATTAGCAGATTATTTAGATCTGTTTGATAATCACTTGTCAAAAGAATCAAACTTCTGATTGCTATGAAGCAATTCTGAGAGCACCAGGCCAGAAGATCCTTTTCCACGCATGGAAATGGCTGCAGCAAACAGAGTAGCATCTCTTGGGGTAGCTCGAAAAGCCACATTTCCTTCTTTGTGCATCTTCATATGTTTTCCCTTTGTCATTTCCTTAGTTCTTTCTCTTTTAATAA